GAGGAGGAGGAGGAGGGAGGGAGGGAGGGAGGAAGGGAATGAATAGCATCCCTTTTTGCAAACACACAAACCGCACATCAGAGGTGTGTGAAACTGAGTTTGAAGGGGGTGGGCAAGAAAGATCGCCTGCCCCTGGTGCCTACAAAGCCAGCCCACTGTCTTCTGACGGGGTTGGAATTAACACTATAAATGTCACTGTCCCGTGCAATGGGCCATTACCATAGGTACAAATGTGTTTAAATCATTTTCTTCTCACTTTTGAACAAATGGTTCAGTAAGAGCTTCTATGAGTACATCCAGGAGTGAACATCATATGAAGTCTTCAAAGTGCTTTCTTTCTCCCAAGGTTTAGATCACTACCACCACACCACCACCACCCTTTAGTCGGGATGTCTAGTAAGTTAGAATTAGAATGGTTTTGGCTGGACTTGATTGCTGCTGTCTAACCCAGGTGTAGAATACCCATCGATTGCACATAGACTAAAGGACCTATGGGTCCCAATTCTTTTAAACATTTCAAAAGGAAATTTTACCTTTAAGGAGAAAAATAAAAAACAGGAGCCAACCAGAAGCATTCAAGGGGAAAAAATCTCTAAAGAAAAGGAAGCTGTTTGCCTACCAAGACCCAGTAAACTGCATTGTCCTCCTTGGAGTTCCCCCCTCGAACCCCCACATCTTCTCATCCCCATCCCAATAGCGAGAGCATCGGAATCATGTACCAAGAAAATCTGCCACGAATAAATTTCAGCTAGAGTGAAATGAAACCCCATAAACACCGAGGTAGAAAAGGGTCAGGGTCCATTTGTTTTGACAGGTCGAGTTTTCCCTTCATAATATTTATACAAAAAGAATATGGAGACTGACTTTTAAAATAAATACATCTTTGAGGAGAAATAAAACAAAAGTTTTATCCGTGGCTGAACCATGAAGCCAATAAGCTTGGGCTGCTCCAACCGGTTGGGTAGGAAGAGGTGACTCAGTGTCCAGTTTGGGGGTGGTCAATCCCTGGGAGTAGGGGAATGGTCAGACCCGAAGGAACTGCTGAGGCGGGGCGGAGGACAGAGGAAGAAGGAGAAACTACGAGGCCCAAAAGTGTTAGGGTCACCCGTGGAGCGGAGAGCGGTACCGAGTGATGGATATCACTTTGCAGGGCCGGTGATACCTCGATAGGCACGCTTTTCTCCTAGATAGTGTCAGCGACCTGTCTCTACCTCCACAAGCCTGAAATTCTTTCCATTTAGACACCAACCCGCCTGCCAACCGGTATGAGCCTCGGCGGGGCGTCCTCTAGGGTATGATTCTCTAGGGTGCGATGAAGCCAAGAGTGGAGGGAGCTGAGAACCCCATTTGCCAGTCTGGCAAAAAGAAAAGAAGGGAATCTTCTGGTCCGTTAGGGAACCCGGAAGAACCATTGCTTCACCAAAGCAATCCTGCCTGTCCCCAGGCCTGTCGCTCCAGCTCTCCGCCACCAAGTGGCAGAGTCAAGCTCTCCAGGAGGCTTTGAGGACTAGGCTGGGGCCATGCTTTCAACAACCTACGCCCAACCTGTTGCCCTAACGCACCCTGTGAACTGTCCGGGAAAGCCCTGGGTCCTGAGAAGATGTTACTGGCTTCCGGGACGCCTAGGAGACACAAGTACCCTTCCTCCTTGCACATGACTGGGTAGGGGCTGGAGCAGAGACCAGGGAAGCACGCATGTGCCCACGTGACCACTACAGTCGATCCTCCCAACCCCCTGCAGCTGGCGGTATCTAGACCCCACTTCTAGGACCCGCGGGCGGGTGGGGCCTTTTACTGCTTTCCCCCTGCTTCCCATTCACGCTTCTTGTCCCCTTTTAAGCTCCCTGCTGTCCCTCCCCCTCTTTCTCCTTACCTTCAACAAGTTCGCCTCCAATTTGAAAGCCTTATTTTCCCTTAGAATGTATGTCCTGTCCTAACACTTCCGATATCAAAGCAGACTTTCTTCCCTCTCCCATTCCTCTTACTAAAGTGCGAGCACCTTCTGTCCCCCAGGTCTCCTCGTGTCCTGCTGGCCTCGCCGCTTTCCTTCCCTTCTGCCGATACTGGCTCCCGATTGCTTAGAGTTCTAAAACGTAAAGAGCAATGAAAATGGGATCGCTTGCCCCGACCCCCGCCCCGCCATCGGTCCCAAAAGCTTTAACTGGAGGAAGCTAGGCTTCCAAAGAAACTCGGGCTTAAAAAAGAAAATCCTAAGGACTATCATGGTCTGACAGGAGCTAAAGGCATGATCTGGCTCTCTTAATAGACCGAAGGATGGACCGTGGAGTTGGGGGAGTGAAAGGAAATGAGGTAAAGAAAAAAGAGAGTCCAGCACACCTTTTAATAAATTACCTCATTCCCAGCACCCCGGAGGCAGAGGCAGGTGGATCTCTGACTGGTCAGCCTGGTTTACAAAGCAAGTTTCAGGACAGCCAGGGCTTTACAGAGAAACCCTGTGTTGAAAACCAAAACAAAAAGTGGGGGTGAGGGGTTGTTTTTCCTGGATAGTGAATAAAGTGACAGAAAGGCTCTGACTCAGATTACCGGACATCACCTGGGCACACTACACGGATAGTGCTGTAACGAAGCCATGGGTCGCTGTCCGACTTAGAACGGAGTTGCTCTCACTCATTGATTCCTATTGAAATCTCAGCCTCTCTCTCTCTCTCTCTCTCTCTCTCTCTCTCTCTCTCTCTCTCTCTCTCTCTCTCTCTCTCTCTCGTGCGTGTGCGACAAGAAATGACATTGCCTCAGTCAGAGGTTTCACACCATGTACTAAAGAAGCCAGGGTGTTGGGAGGCTGCTTGGAGTTAATCCACCAGAGAGGACAGGATGGTCCCACTCACCAATTTTAGGGAGTGATCTCATTGAGGACTTTTGTGTGTTCTCTGAACACCTAGATCACAAAGACACAGGCCAGTTCACAGCCACCTAAAGACTTCACTGTTGGTTACCACAGCCTGCACCTGTGAGCTTTCTAACCTGCTACCTCAGGTTTTTCTGACTCCACTTCTCCTGCATGGAATAACCACTGAACCACGGAGTAACTGCTGATCTGAACTATTTCATTTGTGCTAGAAATGGGACCAAGAGACAGAGGTCATTCCTCACTAGTAAGGATTGTGAGCTGAGCTAGCTGGAGAGACAGAGTGAATCCCTGGGCCTGGGGACACCAATTGGCTTTGGGACATTTCCTGGAGACCATTGTACCCTCCTATTGGCCACCAGCATCAGCTGCTTCAAATCTAGAGGTTAGTTCTATAGCTTTTCTCAGATCAGAATCTAAGGGACCGGGTTTGAAATATAAAGGGAGGTCACCAGGCACATAGAAGAAGATGGATCAGTAAATGACTAAGGGGTAAATGAAACACCGGTGCCGATCTCTGTGATGGCCATGGATAAAGAAAGGGAGTCCCCAAATAGAAGAAATAATCTCTGACAGGATCTCCAATCTTTCTAAGATCCTGTGATCAGTTAGTGGAGCAGGAAGGAGGAGGAATTCTTAGCTACTCTGTTTCAGCAGGTTCCCATCACTCCATTTCTTTCCCCTAAAACCAGAAAGTACTTGTCACTGTGTCAGTCTCTAACGTCATCTTGCCTTTTCAACCTTCACGTGCACGCTTTGAGATTACCTTAGAACTTTAAAAGACACTCCGCCAAACGACAACACACTTAACGATTGATTACCCTGTGTTTAAAAGTTCTAATCCTTCAAGATAGGTGTGGTTGTACACCCCTGTCACCCCAGCATTAGAGAAGCTGAGGCAAGAGAGTCAGGACTTTGAGGCGAATGTGGGCTACAAAGTGAGATTCTGTCTGAAGCAAAACAAAATAGGGAAACAAAATAAAGCTCTAGACTTTCAGTCCCACACATGGGCACTTACTCTGGAACTGGAGAGGAGGGTTTGTCTTAAAGGAATGCAAAGGCCATACAGCTTGGAGCCCGGTACCTTCTGTTTTTTCACATCCCCCAATAAAACGTGTTCATTAAAATTAACTTCCAGGGTTGTGATTCAGAGTGTATTTTTCCAGATTCAGTGTGATTGGGGGTGGGCTGCAGTAGGCACCTTGCTAAAAGGTAACTACGAATGTCTCAAATGGAAGTTTGGAAGAAGAGCCACTAGAAATTAAAAACAAAACAAAAAAGAGAAAAACAAAAAACAAAAAGAACCCTCAGACCCAATCCAACCAGGCATCCTAAATAAATAGCGCCGTTTGCAAATTCCTATCAATTATTACGTGATGGGAAAAAATCCTATCTGAAAATAAGGCACGTGGATGGGGAGAATTTTAATTAAATCTTACTGTGGATATAATGGCATGGAAGTGATTTTTCATTCGGCGCTTGCCTGCTCACCAGTGTTTTATGGCGTTTTCTTGCCTCTGACTTTATTTTAAAATATTAGGCGAGGTGGAGAATTATAAACGGCTCTTTCCTTATCTGTCCTGCTCACATATCCAGGATCAGAGGAGCTGATTAAGAAAGAAGTCAGAGGCAACGCTGGATTCATAATGATTTGGATAATGAATCCTTATCTCTGCTTTCCAGATTATCTGCTTTTCAGCTCCCAATGTTTTGTTACATGGGATAATTTATTGCATCTAATACATCACAATGAATCTGATGGTGGAAAGCGATGGCCAACGTTGTGAAAAGGGGGCCCTTATTTTTTATCCCTGGGCAATGAAACTGCTTTTTGCAGTTTTTAATTGGGAAAATATAAGGTAGATCTGATAAAAAAAAAGGGGGGGGAACTGGGTATAATCTTGCCTGCTCGTGCTTTACCACGCTGCTCTTTAATTAGTGTGTCAATTTCAGGCTGAAATTAACAAGATCGACCTGAAACCAATGGTTAGTTTCTCCCCAGTGCTGAGATCCTAATTTTTAACATGATTTATTTTTATGAAAAAGGAGATAATTAATCATAAACACTGACTAAAGCACTGGGCCAGGTTAAGATAAAATGCTACTTGCATCTTTATATAGAAAGATAGCAATAATGGTCACTTTCCCAAGATTCCCTCTCTCCTCAGCATCTCTCTTGCCTCCACACACTTCTCACCCCCACTAGCCACCCCAGCTCCAATTCAAGCTAACCAGAAAAATAAAGGATCAATTCCAGGTTCCTCCAAACAGTCATTGTTTTAGCTCTTGTTCATGAAGTACACACACACACACACACACACACACACACACTCACACACACACAGAGAGCTTTCAGCTTGCCTGGCTTTGTCTGTTGACATATGCAGAACAGGCACAGGTTTGATTTTCTTGGAGAGCTCGGGTGGGTGGGTTTCACCTTCACCCCACTCACACCCACTCACATCAACTTCTTTCCATTTTAGAGAGAAGAAGGGGGGGCACATCTCGTTTAATGGCTAATTAGTTCCAATAATTGGCATTTTTGTTTTCTTTTGTCTCTCATCCTAACACCAAAAGAACAAAAGCCATCGAAATGCAACAGGCATCACTCAGCTCTGAACAGGACAGATGTCTGAATCCAAGACTAAGGCAGCAGCCCCTCCCACCTCCCAGTGTCTGACAATACATATGGATGTACAGGCTTAGGGACCCAGAAGGGGCAAGGGTCCTTGGTCATTCCCTCTTTAAGCTCTCTGTGCCTGTTGATTACTTTCTGGTTGTTTGGATCAAATAATCACCGGGATATGTAAACGAATGAAAAGAGATTCATATGTACTCGCCCTCCAATTGTTTCTCCTGACGTCAGATGGTAATTTCTTGGTAATTGGATGGCTTGCACCGGAATATGGGTTGTCTGAGTTCCTGAACCCCTCCCCCGACACATGCGTGTTTCTCTAGGAAGATTTTGTGGTGGGTGAGGAACTTTTTCTTAAAGTTATTTCCCATGATTCCTGTTGTTTTCTCTTTATCCTACACTTAAGATTTACTTCTTACAGTATGAGAATTTGAAGTCTGTTTCTGGGACTATAATGTCCCCGATAGTTCTTGAGGAGACTGAATCATCCTGTGGATGTTGCCAGCAATGATGGGAGAGATGGCGTACACAAGGGGAGGCAGGAGCAGAAATGAGGTTCTATGGGGTGGGGGTGGGAGAAGCATCCTTCCTATAGTGGTCCTGCCTTCTCCCACAGTGAGGATACCCAGGGTTCCCATTTCTCTCAAGTTCAAGTCTCAATTCCTGAATATGCTCCACAATCTTTAGAAAAAGAGAAAGTCAGATAATTATAGTCTCTTTAAAACTTGGATTTTGGTTCTAAACAACTATCAGATTTTAGGTTTATACAAAAGAAGACACCTGATTGTCTGGGTTATTTTCCTTTTATCCATCCATTCACATCCTTCCTTGTTACAGTGGACTTCAGACCTCAGAGTTCTAAATCTGTGCTTGGTATCTGGATGATTCCCCCTCTTTCTTCTCCATAGTCCCCACCCCCTCTCCATCTCCCTCTTTCTTTCATTTCTTTATGACATATCCCTCCAAGAATTTCAAGTATCAATTATAAGTAATATGAATTTCTCAGCCTCAGCCATCGAAGTGCAGATGATCTGATAGGAGCCTGGAAACGCAGATTCCCTAGATGTGGCAGACTGCTGGGGCCTACTGGGCCGTTTCCCATGCCCA